AAAAAAAAAAAAAAATTGAACGCTCTTAATTTGCTTAGTTCAGATCAGGAACGAAAGAAACATACAAGATGATGCAAATAAAGCCAAGATGTTGCTAAGGTTATGTAATAATATTTTGGCACCTTATAATATAAAGCAACTCTCTCTCTTTTTTATTTTTTTATTTTTTTTTTGAAAAAGCGTCACTTTTCAATTTTATATGTCATTTTTTTAGGGCGTTATTTATGTTATCACATTACGTTTTAGCTGTAATCTCTAGATCGACATCAATAAGTTTAATTAGTTCTTTCATTATTTGTTACCATTTCTTTTTACAGCATAACTTTCTATAAATATTTTGCTGTTGTGAACTACTGGATAGTCTTTTTTTTTTTATTTCCAGTAAAATAAAATTTTTGAGAAAACTTCCTTTTAAAAAAATCGCCGGGTGTACATGAAGGTTTAGAAATAAATTATTTGCTTGGCAGGACCATGCATATCGGTTGCCCATTTATTCACCCAAAAAAAAAAAAGAAGCTTTGTCCCATAATACCAGTTCAGCCAAAAAAAAAAGGAGAATAAAAATATACCCAAGAAAAGGTATATTCCCAAAGCAAGTTTGATCTGTTGCCTGTATGACAACGAGAAAGAGAAGACATTCGGATCTACTTGAAAATGTCCGCATCATACATTTTTTAAGCACCCAACACCTAAAGAATCTCAAAGGGATTCTATTCCCATCTCTATAAAGATTCCTTCATGTTGAATTGTGATCTCATTTGGAATTTCAACGTCTCAATATCCCATACACTTTATCATAATTATCAAAATGATCTGATAATTAGCTCAAACTTTAGGCCATGTTTGGTAGCTTGTATTGTACAATGTGTATTGTATTATTTTGTGTTGTGTTATCATAATACAATACGGTATTTGGTGTCATGACGTATTGTATAAGGGGTTAAAATGTATAATTTTAATAATTTTAGGGTCAAAATGTAATTTTTGAAAAATTTTATAGTCAAAATATAAATTTTCAAAAGTTGTGGGGTCAAACTGAAATGTTATTTAAAAAAATTTGGGATCAAAGTGTAATGTTACAAAGTTTTGAGTTCAAAATGTAATTTTGTTAAAGTTTTGGGGTTAAAATGTAATTTTTAAAAAAATAAATTTGCATTGTGTCACCTTAATTTTTCACCAATTATAGGCTCCAACATGACACTATGTTGGCCTAATCCCAACCCTTAATCGTGCCCAAACCCTGCCCAAACTTGATATGAATTATCGATCCACTATAAAATAATACAATACAATACGTTAAAAATAAGCCGTATTCAATAATACGAAATAGATCGTAACACTAAACATAATATTATTGTATTATTATATATAATACGGTCAAACAAACATACTCTTAATATAAGCATATAAAAAGGGATAAATAATATAAAAAGGGGAAAAATGTTGGCCTAATTCTAAATAGAATGAATTCCGATATCACTATATACATATAGAGTTATATACTTTGTTAGTGACTCCGAATATGCCAAGCCCATTTCACAAAATAAGTAGACCAACATGCATAGGAATATAAGAGCACAAGATCCATCATTCATTATCAAGGGATTCAGTACCATTATAAATGTTGGGTGCCTATTGCTCTATTTAGAAGGAGTGTTCTCTAAAGGAATACCACTTTTACAGAGTTGGTACTTAAATAAATTATTTTTACAAAAAAAAAAAAAAAAAAAAAAAAAAAATTGAACACAATTTCTGTATAAAAATAATACGTGTGAATAATGGACTTCAAAACTGATTATAGTCTAATTTAGACTTTGATATAAGAGGGGCCAGAAAGCGCTGCTTAATTAAGAAAATGAATTAGTTGTAATTAAGAGAGGAACATGTCGATAATCTATGTACATCACATATTATTAGCTAAAACTATATGCATATCTTAATTTACAGCTGCTATATATCTATCCAGAAATTTTCTTGTTAAATTAATCTATCCTCTCAAAGGGACTATCTATCATGGAAATTGATTGAAAATGACGACAATGTTAGAAGGTCAATATATAAATTGCATATACAATTAACTTAAGCAATATCGCAATGGTGAAAAGCTTCATCGACATATAAAATCGTACGCATACATGCATAAACGGATAAATAAATATTATTTCTTTTTTCTCATGTGATTCACACTAACAACAAACTAGTCTTTTTACGTCCTTTTTTTATATATCTATCCTCCACCATTTTCTTTTCAAAATAAAAGATTGAAGAACGTCATTTTCGTTTCTTTTTTGAAAATAAATGGTCAATTCGCAAGTTGCATTAACTTTGTCATTTAAGCATTCTTTATATATTTCCCCCCAAAAGCATTGTCATATCTATACAATTACACGTAACTTGATTAGTGTATATAAGAAGCTGCTATTATCTTTATAGGGCATTTGTAATTATGCAAAAATAGTGATATTTTTGTCCTTTTCTTAAAGTTCGTAACATAGTTAAGCATATTAAGGGAAAAATATGTATTATAAGAGAAATAGTACAGCGCGTTTGCTTATCAAATGGCATTTATAACGTGGAAGATTATCATAAACAATCATAAACAATATGACGTGTATCCACTAATTATGTTATCTGGCAAGGAATTTTTAATTTGACTGGAATTAATAGTCTAAAACGGTAGTTGAGTGTACAAATGGCTAAATTAAGTTGTTTAAACAAAATAAATATATAGTGGGAGACATCAACGGAATAAGGGAATTGTTCAAAAACTAATTGTAAACGGCTTCGACTTTTTCTACCAAATGACT